TTTCTTCTCTTGTGCTAGCTGGGCTAGCACTCATAAGGGGCAAGTTTTCGCACTTTAGTCAGTGTGTTCTTAATGTCCGATCTCATGGGCAAACATTATTTGACGGGTAGTGTGTTCTTAGCACTCATAAGGGGCAAGTCTTCGCACTTTAGTCAGTGTGTTCTTACTGTCCAATCTCATGGGCAAACATTATTTGACGGGTAGAGTGAACTTGATACTATTATGCTACTTTTTCGCCTTCGAGGCTAAATGGAGCATTCTATAAAATCCAATAAGATTGTAACTACACGACATTGTCAATGAATTGTCTCAATCCTCTATGATACCAGACTATAGTGTTTCCTCTTACTCCTCTACGTTTCACTTCAATATAAGCGGTTCAAACTTAAGGAAGGGTATACTCTTGTATTGAAAAATTGATTCTGCTATAAATGGTGAAGGATGACTTTGGAGTGATGGCAGATTTACTGAGTTTTGATGGCTATATGGGATCCAATGAGTTCATCGAGTGATTCCAGTGAGTAGAGCAAGTCTTCGAGTACAAGGACATTCTACTTGACAGAAATGTAAAGTCTAAAGTGTCTGCGTCAGCATATGGGAAAAAGCAGGATCACAACATGGAACTGATAACAAATGACACCATTTCCTAAAAAGTGTAAAATGAACAAAGTGATGGGAATGTTATAGAAAGAAGGAATAGCATATGATTCAACAAAGAGATGAATGAAAATAGGTAGCAGCTGCTGTTTTGGGAAAGAACAACTAGGAATCTGCGTGATAGCAAAGTCAAATAGGAACAAACAACACATTAACAAGCTACATTTACATTACCGGTAAGAGCAAAGTTATAATACTCAAAAGGAAGAAAAGCATAAATCATAATCAGCAACTGTCTAAATTAGCCAACGAAAAATAAAAATATATTTCCCCAAAGAATTAACCCTAATACTAGCGCTAATTAAGAAAAAGAAGGCCTATGGTCAACCCTACCTTGGGCTCCTGAAAGCATTTAGACCGGCCAACATAAACCAAACCAGGTTGCCAGTTTGATGGCTTACACACCGCCTGGGATGGGTGCGAAGGAAGTAGTTCACATCAGCCCGTCTCAGCTCACACAAATCCACTGCAAGCACATTCCTG